TCAGAAATCAAAATGTCCCTAGTTTCTTTTCTGTTGGTATAACAAAATACCCCCACTTAAAATTGATTTAGAGGAGAAAGGGTTCATTTAGCTTGTAAATCAAGCTTACAGTTCATTACGGGGAAGTCAAGGCGAGAAGTTAAATCAAAATCTCCACAGATATGAACTGAAAGGGTAAGCACAGATATCCTTTCTTGCTCTCAGCTTATTTTTCTTCTCTTACACTGTTCAGAAACCCAAGCCTAGGGAGTGGTGCCACCCTCAATGGCCTGGGTCTTCCTACATCAATTAACAATCAAAACAATTACCAAAAATCAACATAAGATAGATAAATATTTCTAGGTGGTCCTAGATTGTGTCAAGTTAACAGTTGAAATGAACCAGGACATGTGTCACATTTCATTTCATATGCAGAAAACACACACACACACACACACACACACACACACACACACACACACACACAATACAAATATATCTATGCGACTCAAAGCTAGATTTGATTGTAGGGAGAGAAAGGGGTCTAAAGGGATAGCAAAGGAGGAAACAAACAAGGGTAATGGAGAAAGATAAATACTGCATGTTTGTGCTCATACACAGAATACAGAGGGAAGGAAATGAACAAAGTACATATACCTTTGGTTAATTGGCTTTAGAATATGTGGGGTGACTGTTAAAGTATATGTTTGCTTAGGAGTGCTAAAAATATTCCAAAAATTATTTTGACAATTGTGCAATTCTGTGAATACAGGAAAGATAATTCATTATATCCTTTATTCTGGAATGAGAAGAATTAGAAGATTCTCAACAGACTGGGATCCGATCTTTGACATTTTAGTATTTGTTTTGCTGAGATCAGGTCTCATGTAGCCTCAGATAGAGTCCTTGATTTCACTACACAGCCCAGAATGACCTTGAACTCCTGATCATCCTGCCTTCAACTCCAGGGTGCTCAGATCCAGCTGCGCATTACTACCCATGGCTTCACCAAATACGTTAAATGAGTGAGTTCTATGATGTGTGCATTATATCTCAGTCTGTGGTACGAAAGTGAGATGATAATATCATGCCACTTGAGTTAGATGGTGGGCTTTTGGGTGCAAAGCATATTTTATTATAATTCTTCAAAATTGCATTTATGTTATTCTTTGTGGATAAAATGTCGATCTTACTAAAAACATTTTTTAGAAACCTGAGTGACCTGACTTCTGACTCTACCACTTATCAATTACGAGTTCTTGGGCACATTACTCAACCTAAGCCTGCCAGCAACTTATCTGTAAGCAGAGATGGTAATAATAGTAACTTCCTCATAGCCTCTTATAACTCCATGCCCAGAACATTTCAATGCTATTATTAGCTAACATTCCTTTTAAGCAGTTGAACGACTTACATTGAAATGTCTATGTAATATCCACTCTTTTTAAAAATACATTTTTCTCTTTTCAATTTGCTTATGATTATGATGGTTTATGTGTGTATGCATGTGTGTGTGTGTGTGTGTGTGTGGGTGTGAGAGAGAGAGAGAGAGAGAGAGAGAGAGAGAGAGAGAGAGAGAGAGAGATGTGTATGAATGAGTGAATGTGGGTACAAGGTCAGATGATAATTTCTGGTAGTCAGTTCTCTCCTTCCACTGTGGGACTAGGATTCAGGGACTGAATTCAGAATGTTAGGTCTGTGTGGCAAGCACCATTAACCTCTGAGCTATCTCACCAATCCAACAAAGTATTGCCAATGCAATTTCATGTCTATGGCATCCTTGTTTTTTGTTGTTGCTGTCCGTTTGTTTTGGTTGTGTGTTTTGAGGAAGTACTAAAAAAGGAAGTTAGAACCTCTTGATTTTATTCTTCTTTGTGGCTGAAAAATATTCCTTTGTGTATAAATGCCACATTTTGATTGCCCATTCATCCTCTGAAGGGCACCTGGCTCTTGTGAATGTTACTATGATAAGCATGTGTGTGCAGGTGTTTTTATTGTATACTGGCCTTGATTCCTTTGAATACATAATCAAAGGAGGGGTACTGTTTTTAAGTTTAAAATTGTAGTTTTAAAAGGAACTTTCATACTGATTTCCATAGGGAAAATGTCTGCTACTTCTGAGGATTGGTATCAACTAATTTTCTAGCCTGGTTCTGGGATTTCAAATCTACGACACATCAAAGCCTCTTCTTTCCCATCTTGAGCTGTGTCCAGAACCTATGTCTGTTCTGATTCCAGTCTGGGGGGTGAGGCAAAAAGAGCCAATGTGTGCTGGCAATATTATTGTTCTGCCTGGGTTTCTTACATATGATTCCAGTGGTCAAACTGCGTCTTCCATTCTTTAATCCATTTCTGATTCCAATAAGTATTTTTGGTGAATGTGTCAAAGATGGGTATTTAGAATTAAAGAATTGTTGAAGAGATTTCTCACTCATCTAGATTGTGAAGACTTATTTTCTCATTTGGTGTGTGTGTGTGTGTGTGTGTGTGTGTGTGCGTGTAAGTGCACATGTGAGCTTGAGTATGCATGCCTGTATACATGTGAAAACCAGAGATCAATGCCAGATGCCTTCCAAATTACCATTCAATCTGAAGCTCAGTGTTCAGCTAGACTAGCTAGCCATTGAGTTCCAGGAATCTGCTCTCCCAGCTCTGACCTTACAGACAGGCACGTCCATGCCTGCCCTGGTTTTCTTTACATGGTCAGGTGCTAGAGATCCCAACACAGGTATATTTATATTTGAGTGGGAAACATTTCACCCATTAAGCCACCTTCCTAACCCTGTAGAGATTTATTCTGATGGGAGATAGCAATCAATTATGTTTCTGAAAACCCAAAGCCAGTTGTATTCAGGCAAATTATTAAAGGAAGTGTCACACAGCTCACAGTATTAGCTAAGTTCCTTGTATCAATCAGCATCTCAGACGTAGCAGAGTTTGGAGGAAACATTAATTAAATAGAGAGTGGAAGAAAATATAAAGGATTAGTGACACACAAAGACTGGGGAAAACTACACAAAAATAAATTCAAACATTGATCAAAGGCCTCAATGTAAGATGAGAAACTTTGAAACTACCAGGAGGAAACTCTGAAATATAGTATAGGCAAGCACTTTCTGAGACTCCATATGCTAGGAAATCAAGCAAGAATCGGCATATGCCACTCCAGAGATGTTATTAAAAAAACAAAAAAACAAAAACAAATCCAAACAAACAAACAAACAAACAAAAAGCCTACCCACTGCAAAAGAAACTGAACAAAAGGATGGCCCATGAAATGGGAGAGAAATGTTCTCCAGAAAGTCAAAGAAATGTTTTCACAAAACTCAGAAAGTGCAGTTACCCTAACACTCATGCCTTTTCCTTTTTGTCTTTTTCTTTCTTCTGCTGGCCAGAGCCTGAGCACACTTTCTCTGGTAGTTGAGTTATTTTCTCTCTTTCCCCAGTGCTCCCCTTCCTGCCATGTGTCTGCTTGTTTGCCATCTGGCTGACCTCCATGCTGTCTGGGCTCAAATGGCAATCTCCCTCTCCCATCTCCAACTCCCTCCTCTCTGCAGCTGGTGAGTTTACAGCCTGCCTTCCCTGGGATTTTTCTTTGTAATGCTATGAAAATTTTCTTCAAAAAAATTTTAAAAACTAATCAAGTTTAGCCAAAGAAGAAATAAAAAATAAATAAATGATCAAATCATCTGTGCAAACACTTCCCCAAAGGAGAAGCACAAATGGCAAATTTGAGGGGGAACAATTCCAATATGCAACCATCAGGAAGATGAAAATCAAAACTGTATTGGGAATCCCATCTCACCCTGAGTCACATGGTTCTCATTCAGAAAGCAACAACCAATCCTGGCAGATGACATGGAAAGAAACTGTGTTATCCATGGCTTATAGGAATATATCTTAGTCTAGCCACTATACAGCATAGAAATTTCTCAAAACACTAAAATCAAAACTATCAGCTTCAGTTTGTATATAACTGAAGAAATGAAGGCAACATACAACAAGCTATCTGCACACCCATGTATATCGAGTCTCTTAATTGTAACAGCTAAGCAATGGCATCAGCCTATGTGGTGTGTGTGTGTGTGTGTGTGTGTGTGTGTGTGTGCATGTGTGCCTGTGCCTTTATATTTATATATCTTTCTTTCTATCTATAATAGACTATTATTCAGTCATAAAGAAGTGAACCCTGTTTATAGAAAGTAGATGGAAATAAAGGTTATCATGCTAAACAAAATAAATTTAGTACAGAAACACAAACATTTTTCTCATATTCAGGAAGCAGAATTAAAGAAATGCCAGGTGGTGTGTGTAGTTGAGAGGGTGAGGCAGTAGGACTGCCGAGAGTTTGATGGCAGCCTGAACTATGGACTGATCTGACCCTAAATCAAAACAAATCAAATACCAATCTAAACATAGAAAAGAACAAGATGGGGAAGAAGCAAGAGAAGTTAAGAGTGAATATATCCCAATCAAGACATTTGCATTTGTAGAAACGTCACAGTGAAACCCAATAATATGTGCAATTAACACATATTGCAATTGCACGGATGTTGATCACAACACAAACAATAATATTTGGCATATGTCGGGTTAACCCATTAATGTTAAATGGAATTTTACTTAAGCAAAGTCTTCCCTGATTTTTCCTCCACCCTCACCCTAACCCCTCTTAACTTATTATATTGCAAAGTTCCCAGAGTCCTTCTGACAAGCCTCTTGCAATACATGTCCACAGTGTTTCACTTGGTAACTGCATTTCTCTGCCAAAGAGGTGGGGCCTTCTCTTCCTGGATTACTACTACTATGCTCATCAGTGTACTTACAAGCTTGCCTACAATGGATACTCAAGAAATCATTTGTTGCATTAGTGGATGACCAAGCCAGGGGACAATGAATTCAGATTTGGCCTGTAGAGCAGAGATAATCAAGAGTTGACCTGGAGCCCTTGGATTCCCAGAAGTCCTCCTGAACGAGTCTCTCTGCAGAACAGCTGAGCTAGGGGAAAGCCAGGACGTTACCTGTGCTGGGTGAGTACGTTGACAGCTGAAGGATGATTTGCACAATAAGCCAGGTACATCGATTTAAAATGAGGCATGAGGTTCAGTAGACAGCCTCCCACTTTGTGCTGGTTTTCTGGAACCCTGTAAGTAAGACATGTGAAGCACAGAATGTAAACTGGGAACCAGAAGGTAAAGACACTTGCAATTGAGCCCAGAAACAGGTAAATATTTTGATGTATTGCTATGGGGGGGGTTCTATTTATTTATTTATCTATTTTCAGGTACACTGAAGGCACTTTATCCCTGGAATGCAGTGTTGATCGTTGATTAAAATTCTAGCCACCTGGCTGGAGAGATGCCCCGATGGTTGAGAGCACTGACTGCCCTTCCAGAGGACCCAGGTTCAACTCCCAGCATCCACATGATGGCTTACAGTCTGTAACTCATACATGTGGTGCACAGATGTATGCAGGTAAAACACATTAAATAGCTAACATTTAAAAGTAAGTTCTAGCTACCAAGAAAATTCTGATGTAGAGGATAATATTCTTGGAATTAACAGTAGGGCTGTTTGCTTCTAGGATGATTATATTCAAATTTCTCTTGACAAACTAAGACTATTCAAATTCACATCATAATCAAGCACACACAAGACTGATTGAATTTAACAGCATATCACATCTTGGACAAAATTTCATCTCATAAAGCTCAGAAGGTCACCATGAAAGTCACCAGTTTTTCCAAGATATACTGAAAATTAGTTTTATACCCGAAGTACCCTGTCAGAAGATCATTCCAGTGAACTTTGTAGTATAATGTTTACTAATGCAGCAATCAAGTAGCCATCAAAACTATGCTGAGGGCGTTGGAGAGATTGCTCAGTGGTGAAGATTACTGGCTTCTATTCCAGAGGACCTGGGTTCTGTTCTTAGCATCCTCCCACATTGAGGGCTCACAGCTGTCTGTAGCTCCAGTCTCAGGGGGCCCAGATCCCTCTCTGGCCTCCGAGCTCAATTCATGCACATGGTGCACACATATACATATATTGCAGACAAAACACCCATATACACAGGACATACACTTTTCCTTCTCTGATTTTGTGTTTCATGTCAGACTATAACCGGCATAATACCAGGAGTGCTAGAAAGAAACAAGTTAGACCTGGTGGTAACTATTGTAATGCCAGAGGCATAGGTGTAAAGATCTGAACTTCAAGACTCAGCTGGGCTACATAGTGAGCTTGAAGCCTTCTGGGACTGAAGAGATGATGTTGGGCTTGGGTAAAGTGGGGATCAGGGGTAGAGAGCCTGCCTAGAGTACATAAGGCCTCAATCCAAGCAGCCAGAAATGGGGGCAGGTACGAAATGAATGATTTAAATGACTTTTCCAAGTAACCAAGTAAAAATATCAACATCAGAGCTGTTATTGTTAGTACTGCAGAGATGGCTCAGCAGTTGAGCACACTTGTAGCTCTTCTAGAGGACCAGAGTTCAGTTGCCAGCACACATTGTGGCTCATAACCATCTATAACTATAGAGCTCCAGGGGATCCAGCATCGTGCTCTGACCTGGTGCACATACATACATACATGAAGGCAAGCATTCATACAAATCAAATAAATGATGAGATTTAAAATTAAAGCCACAAACAGTATTCTAGAGGGGTTAGGGTGGTTTGACACCAAACCGACCACTGTCTGGGTAGGGGTCTTCATCTTTATGTTTTTGCTTTGGTCTGGGACAATGGCTTGAACTTGCAGCATTGCAAGTTCTTTGTGCCCGACTTAAGCTTATAATGCCAATACTTGGGAGGTGAAGGTGGGAGTATCCGAAGTTTAAGGTCAGCCTCTACTATATACGGAGTTCTAAGCCAGTCTGGTCTATGTGATACATTGTCTTAAATGAATTTCTAAGTGTAGAACGAAAAAGCAAAGTGACTGTTTCACTTACTTTGAACATTCTTCCAGGGCTTGGCAGAGGGTCTGTTGAAACGTGCATACTTCTTCAAAGTTCCCCAATAAACATGTAAACTCCACAGTAGTCAGGCTGAATTTAAAAAAAAAAAATGAGAACATGATGTTCCGGTTAATAGAAAGTCAAAGTGCTTGCGTTTGAACTTCTGCTTTTTTAACTTATGACAACTCTATGACCTCTAGCACCCTCGTTTAGCTTCCTTCCTTGGTTTATCTTTTCTAAGGTAAAAATAATGATCACAAAGAAAGTTGGTGGTCATCGGGGCATTTAGGTATTGTGTTAAGCCATGAGGAAAACAATATTGCTTAATATCGAAGTATAAAAATAGATAAATGTACAATATGATTGGGACAAAGTTCAAAATCTATGGCATATATCTTCTAGAGAAAATGGAAAAGTGATTAAAATATTTATGTTCAACAAACCCAGAGGGGAAAGGGTAGCAAAATCAGCTTCCTCTAAAAAGAAAATACTCAAATAACAACTAAAAACTTTCTTCATGAAAGAGAATAAAGGGAGAAAATAAAGCTGGATTTTGTTAGTCATTTGTGGGCTGGGATGAAGTCAAATAGAGGCAAACTGGATGCTTTTATGCAGGGCATCTCCATGAGGAACATTCATCCCTGTTCGTTTTTCCCCTGTTCGTTTTTCCCTTACCAAACAGTAAGTGATACTAAGAACAGGAGCCAACCCTCACAAGGCACGAAGAGTCAAGCAAGCACTTTCCAAACAGGAGCTTCAGCTGCTCTATGAGCTAAGCACCATGGCCATTTGGTGGCTAAGTGCCATTTTACAGGCGAAAAGACACAGACACAGAGTAAGCAAAGCCACCGGACATCAAAGAGCAATGGATAGCAGAGAAAGGCTTGTACTAAGCCTTCTGACCCTAGAGAGCACACTCTGAAGCACTTGTCTGAAGATTCACTTAAGAAGTGGATGTGCCACACAGTCTCTCTCCTTCAGAATACACAATCCTGGGCCTGCAGAGAGGGCTCAGAGGTTAAGAACACTTGCTGCTGTTACCAGGGATCAAAGTTCAGTTCCCAGCACCCAAATAGGAGCTATTCACAATGGCCTATAATTCTAGCTCCAATGATCTGACGCCCTCTTCTGGCCTCCTATGTACACATGGCATATACTCACACAGACATACACACGATTAAAAATAAAAAATTAAATCTTTTAAAGAAATGAATTATCAGCTCTAAACACATGTACATATGAGCAACACTAAATGGGTTCAGAGAGACAGGGAGGCATTGCAAGGGGGAAAGGAGGGAGTGGAAATGGTAAAAATACAGTACTCATGGAAGAAACCCTCACACATAGAGAAAATTAAATTAAAGAATATAAATCCTAAAAAGACGTGGTAAGGCAAACCTGTAATCCCAGCACTTGAGAGGTAGATTTAAGAGGGTTGGGTGTTGAGGCCTGAAGCTACATGAGAGACACTGTGTCAAAACAAATTTTAAAAGCACATATGTCATAGCTAATTCCTAGGGGGGAATATTTGCAAAGGAGTTTTGCTAACTAATCAAAAAGGGAAGATCCCAGTAAACATTCCCAGTAACCCTCAGAACATGAAAAGCTCCCAGTTCCTCTGCTGTTGTGCCCTCCTTAACTGGAAACTGGAAACCCCCAACTCCTGTTGTCTGAGGAGATTCTGGCAGCCAGCCAGTTTCTCTGGTTGCTTCTCTGTCCTAGCCACAGCAAGCAGAGGCCCTGAACTTTCTGCAACCTGCGGGAGAATGTATCTAGCTTCTTCGCCATCAGACAGTAAACAGTTTGGCTTGCTCAAGAGCTGGTGGAAACACCCTAACTCCAGTATGAGCATCAAACTGAGGGGAAGGGCTGGTCTGACCTGTCTCACACCTATTCTCCCAGGTGTTAGGATTGCCAGTTTGCTTCTTCCTCATTTGAAATCTTCCCACCCACCCCCATTCAGGATGACTAGTTCAGTGGCCCCCTCTTCTGCGGGTACCAGCCAGAAAACAGAAGGCACATTTCAGATAGTTCATGGCATGAGACATGGTCACTTGTTGGCCGTGTGACAGGCAAAGCAGTGAGCCTGTCCAGACTTCAGTTTCTTATCTGCTCAATGGAGACAGTCAGTTCTCCCAGGAAACTAGAAAGGCTAGTGTGCTGTATTCCTACATCACCCTATAAACTATGATTCACGTAACTCTTCACATTTCACATAATAAAAACCAAACACAAGAATACAAAATGCTTCCATATGAAGAATGCTTCCCATGGTACCATGAGAATAGTTAAATCAAAATTCAGCATGACATTTGACTTAAACAACATAATTTGGGGAGGAAAAAGAGGGGGGAAATAGTTATGTATATTAAACTCATGTAAGCCTGGAGTTGGTAGTTTAGACAAACTGCCCCAAGTTCACTTTTTCCTGAGATAAGGGGAGGATTTGGTCTTCCACTGTGTGAGCTAAAGTTTCTAGTTTACTTACAGATTATGATTGCTGGCGAAATTTAATCAAAGTAACAAATAAGCATGGCCATTATTTCTTAACTATGCTAGCCCCACAAGCATAAACAAAAATTGGTCGGTATTTTTAAACATTTTAACTAAAATATAATTGCACAATTTCTCCCTTCCCTTTCTTCCCTCTAGCTGCTCCCCCACACGCTCTTAAATTGACGTTAACACACATTTTCCTTTCCTGAAAACTCGGTCTTCAGCTCACACTTTAGAAAGTAAGTCTTGTTCATTTTGCTTTCAGAATGCTCGCCATCTCATTATCATCCCCATGCATTGTAATGAAATACTGGCTTGAATTATGCTCTTCTAAACCTTTGCAAAATGTCACACCCTTGCCACTTTGGGAGCATGGGAAAGAGGTCTGGCCTGGCAATTGGAAGTCGGAGCAAGCATGAGAATTTCCGATTATTTCATTTCCAAATAAAAGTACCAAGGAGTCCATTTTCTGTATGGTACAACTGGACCCATTACTTTAAAATGCATAGGAAATGTGACAGCTAGAAAGAAAATCCCACACACCTCCACTTTGTGGCATGTAACAGGACTAGTGACAGCTAAGCAACAGGACCAACCCTGGTGTCCAACACTAGAGGACTGCACAGGGGAAATGTGTTGTCTATGCACAAGAAAATTTGTTTAGCTATAAAGAAGAATGAAGTTATGTTATTTGCAAGAAAATGGAGGTAACTGGAAAAAATCATATTAAACAAACGAAGCCAGTCTCAGAAAAGCAAATGTCAGGTGTTGCTTCTCATTTATTTTATATAGACTGTGTGTGTGTGTGTGTGTGTGTGTGTGTGTGTGTGTGTGTGTGTGTGTGTGTGTGTGTAATAAAAATAGAAGGAAAACTGTGCAGGGGAACAAAGAAGAGTAATAAGAAGGAGTAGGACATGAGATATAGGAGGGGAAGGGATGGGAAAGATGCTTAATATATAAAATACGGACTTGTGTGGAAATTTTTCATGAAAAAATATCATTAAAATACATTTTAAAGAAACAGAGAGAAGAAGAGTAGTTACCAAAATGTGAGAGCATAAGGAGGATGGTGGGATGGAGAAAGGACAGTTTAGGGTACAGGGTAGAGCTGGATAGGAGGTATAACTTCTGAATGTTCTCCAACACAGGAGGGTTTCTTGGGATGCCAAAGAGTAATTGTACATTTCAAAATAACTGCTGGATATGCCAATTACCCTGATCTGATATTACACATTGTAGAGGTTTACAGAAAAATCACACTCCATCCTATAAGCATGCATAATTGTTTAGTGCCAAGTGTTGAAGTTTAAAAAATATTAAGTGGAAAAGAAGCAAAAAATGCAAAAATACAAAAATTGCCATAGGCAGAATCTCAGATCAGCTCACTCCTTCCACAGAAAGCAAGCCAAGCTCTCCAAAAGCAACATCTTGCATAACTGCCGTTGCCCTGACCATGTTCTTGGCAACTTGTGATCTGTGGGAATTCTTTTAAAGGGCAAAATCAAGTATTCAGTGACATAGGAGTAATGCCTCCAAGTGCTGACATTATCTTGCTGTGTTTTACGAAGGATTTAAAGAGTCTTACTTGTTATCAGACTGCAAGGGTCTTAGGTAAGTAACAAGAAGAGACTGAAGTTCTTTGGCATATTCTTTTTCAGTATCCAAGATGTTCTGCAACACCTGTAGAGAAACAAAAATTAAGGTCTCATAATGGTCAAGCAAGTCCAAGGTAAGAGCTTTAGATCTTCTAAACAAAAGCCTAGAAAAAAAATCCCAGTTTACTTAGGCTAGATGTCACAATACAAAAATACAAATGTACATTAGTTCAAACTAGATAAATATTTTAAGAATTGTCTGACAACTAGTTATATGATGTAACTCATATGAACACAATTATTATGAATTAGCCACAACTGGAAGAGCCTTACACTTACTTAGCACTGGTCACAATTATTTATGCTTTACATAATTGTATCGAAGAAAGGGCTAGGTTAGCTATTAAAGGCTCACTATTCCCATTTTATGAATAATAAAATTATAAAACATAGATTCAAGACCAGGAGAATTCCAGGATAATTATAACATGGAACATCAAACATATATAATTGGTTTGTATATTGTTTCTGATAAGAAATTTATGGAACAAAATCATAGTGAATAGTGCATTCTTAAGCAGGGTTAAAACTGGTCTTTCAGTAAAAACAAAGGATGCTCATATGAACAATTCAAATAGAAAAGAGACAGCACTGTGAAGAATTTAATGAGAACAACAATCATCTGTCATTAATAACACAAAATTATTTTTTCTTCTTGGTTTGAGATGAAGTCTTACGCTAGTCCAGAATGGCTTGGAAGCCACACTGTAGCCCAAAGTGGCCTCAAACTCACCATAATCCACATGCTTCTGCCTCCACAGTGCTGAAATTACATTATCATTGTAAGCCACCACACCTAGTACTAAAGTCTACAGACACAACACGCAGTTTGTGAGCCCACAAGTTCTCTTTCCTCACCAGTTCTAAGGCCACCCCCCATTTTCCAGCCGGTTCTGAAAGCAGATAAAACCTTCATTTCAAGCAATTATATATGACCAAGTTAATATTTTGCTATGTATTTTTTCACATCTTCTAATTCATTGAAAAATGTTTCCTTTACTAATGGCTATGCTGCTTACAGATAAAGAGCTTCCACCATATCTGAAGATGGAGACATTAAATAGGAACCCACAAGACAGAGAGAAACATGTGGCTAGGAAAAGCATATTAGTCTACCAAAATGGCAGAAACACACAGCTGATACTGCATGTCTGTGGCTTCCACATTCGCTAGATTCTAGAGTGTTTCAGTTTCCACAGGATTCAGCCAATTTCAGGCTGAAAACAGTTTTAAAATGTCACCTGAACTGAATAATATGCCCGTTTCCCTTGTCATAATTTCTTAACTTCGTATAACACAAGACTGTAATCCCAGCTACCCTTGGGCCTGATGTAAGAGGACTGCAAGTTAAAGGCCAGCTAGAGCAACTTTATCAGGTCCAGCCTCAAGATAAAAAATGGGAAAACAAAAGCTGAAGGTATAGCTCAGAGATAGAGCACTTGCCTTGCCATGTAGGGGCCAGTTTCCAGAATCACACACACACACACACACACACACACACACACACACACACACACACACACACACACGGGCAGGCAGTGGAGAGACTATCCCAAGTGTAGGAGAGAATGCCAAAAGGTCATGGGCAAACGCCAGACCATTCTACATAAAAGACTTGCATATCTGTATCAGAGGAGACCCTGGAGCCAACCTTTGAAAATACCAATGAGTGACAGTACTCACAAGACAAAGCATGATGACCGCCTTTTGAAAAGTGGAGTGGCTGAAGTAAGTAGGGGACCAAGCTTTCTGGTGAACAACTGAACCCAGGGGATGGTAGTCCCAACTGTGCTCCTGGCTTACAGGCTGTTTCAGTTTTAAGGCATAGCCTACCTCATCTCAGATTGTGACATCTCAGGGACCATTGTGAAGCAGCAGTGAGATGCTGCACAGGTAGGTACTGGGCAAGTGGCAAACACCTTACTCAAGTTAAGCGGCTAAATGCATCTCTCCCAACAATAGCCCCATTGGCATTTCAGAGCAGAAGTCTCTGTTGGGAGAGGAATGTCCTATGCCTTGTGGGAAGTTAAAAGCATCACTGACTTCTACCCATTAGATGCCAGTTGTGCTCCATCCCACACTGCAATTATGATTTAAAATGTGCTCAGAAGGACAATGTCACCTTAGTTGGGAATCAGTGACTTAGAAGGCCACAAGGTAGTTTCCAAACCAAGTGTTTGCTAAGCATAAAGGCACATGTCTATTATCTGAACACTCGGGAAGCTGAGACAGAAAGGTGGCTTGAGGACATCTTGTATACACAGTATGTTTAAGGCCAGCCTGGGCAAGACTCTGTGCCCCCCCCAAAAAAAAGACCAGTGAAGGGTTAAATCATAGGCCTTACTAACAGTCACTCTTGTCTACTTTCAGTTCCCCTATTGCTCAGAAACTATTCTTCACAAATGTAAATTCAGAGGTCTGAAAGTACTGGTGCTCTCTGAAATTAGTCCAATGATGGAACAGAAATGCTACTGCCAACATAAAATCCAGTTACAATAAAGGCCACTAGAAACTGCTTTGAGACAAATGAAAAGCAAATTCAGCATCCAAAAACTGGGTCTGGAGTTCGGTTGACAAAGTGCTTGCCTAACATGCACAAGGCCCTGGGTTCCATCATCAGCACCACGCAAAGTGGGTGTGGTGGTCCAAACTTATAATCCCAGGGGTCTCTGGAAGTGGAGGCAGGAGGACCAGGAGTTTAAGGCCATCCTCATCTATACAGGAAGTCCAAGGCCCTCCTGGGGTACATGAGACCTTCCTTTAAAGAAAGTGAAAACTTATTGTTTTCAATTAAAGTGATGCTTCAAGAAACTAATTATAGATGCCAATGCCTATATTGAGAAAAAACAAGGCACTTCAGTTTTAAAACAGATGTACTTACTGGGCAGATTGGACTCAATGGTTTAACAAAAGAGGGCATAAAGTTGGGAAGGAGACATGGTAGCGACTGATGCGGTCAAAATTTGTTGTATGCATGAATGCAATTCCCAAAGAATAAGTATGCTTTTAGAGGGATGATTTCTAATTTTTCATTTAGCATTCAAGGGGCTGAGAGGTCATTACTCCCTGCTAACATAATTAGCTGGACAAAATGAAAACTAAACTAAATCTGTGACAAATGAGATGATAGAAGAGTCAATAGACAAGCAGATACTGAGAATTCCAACCTACTGGAGCAGAGCCCCACAGGAAGCCTCCACAGGAAGCAAGACCAGGGTAGGAAAGCCATAGATGACTCTGAAAGTTGAGCACTCAAGAGGCTCAGTGTCCTGAAAGCACACTTAAAGTTTTATGAATTTTGTCCCAGTAAAAATAGAGGAAATACCCTCATTTTTTCAGGCAGGAGGCAAGGAAAGCAGCTGTTGTGACACCAGCAAATTCTGGTAGCTAAACAACATGGGGACATTTGATTTCTAACAATGTCAGCCCTCAGGAGAAACTCTTTTGCCAGCTCATAATGTAACTGACATGAGAGTCTACCAGACACAGAAAAGAGAACATCTAAACTACAGCCAGCTGTAAACACTCATGTAGAAGGGAAATGACTAATTCCAGCCCCCTCTAGCCATCTTGTATCACCTAAGAATGGACACTAAGAAGCATTAGTGAAGGGTACAGTCCAGGGTCTCAGGCTCACCAAAAGACTAAGATATGATCATGGGAAAATAGAATGTGTCCCTCTCTCCACACCTCACCCCACATTACTGAACACTTATTCTCCAGTCTCTTTTACCTAGCATATCATGCCAGGCTTCCAACATAAAATGGCAAAGCCTTATTGAAAGGAGAAAGCAACTGGAGCTAAGGGTGTAACCGTGGTAGAGTGCTTGTCTAGCATGCTCAAAGCCCTGGGTTCCAGCCCCAGCACCACCCAAATCAAAGAGCGAGGACAACAAAATAAGTTTGAAGAGACAAACAGCATCAAAGATAAATTCAGATGCTGGGAATGTTAGAATTCATTAAAAAGAACCCCACCAGTACTGAGATTAAAAGCCTGCAGAATTGGTATTCAAAAATAAAGCAGACATAAAGACTTTCTCATAAAGCCGGGTGTTGGTGGTGCATGCCTTTAGTCCCAGCACTTGGGAGGCAAAGGCCTCTCTGTGAGTTCGAGGCCAGCCTGGTCTCCAGATCAAGTGCCAGGATAGGCTCCAAAGCTACACAGAGAAACCCTGTCTTGGAAAAAAAAAAGACTTTCTCAGACTACTGAAACGACACCCTGAAGGAAGTTATCAGATACATGGAGGCCTGATTATCAAGAGCTATTCCTAGAAATTCTTGAGCCTCTGTGTCTTGGCCACCACAAGATGAACTGCCTCCTCTTCCACACATGCCTGTTTGGCCCGTCACTCTGCACAGGCCCAAGGTCAAGAGACAAGGACCATGAACTGAATCTTCTGAAACCCTGAGCTCAAACAAATGCTTGCTTCCTTATAAAAGGGTATCTGGAAGGAAAGTGACATAGGGAAGAAACTTGGATTTGCATAAAGAAGAGAGGGATATTCATGAGGGAATAAGTGATGGTCAAAGAAGAAATTTGATTTTCTCTTACCAATCGACCAACAGCTAATAAATTATTCAAAATTGGGTCCTGGGTTCTATCCCCAGTACCAACGGAAATACTACATTTGATTACAAGAGTATCTATATACATTTAGACATGTTTATATATGAGTTAAATGAGTGGTATTAATAATAGAAGGCATGGAACAGAAGAATCAGGACTACTTTATTAATAACAGATACTTTTACTAGCTGTGAATATTGAGTATATCTTTCTGTAGTGTTGTTAGAAAATGAACTTGGAAGCTTAGGGTGGTGATACATACCTGTAATCCTAGCACTTCAGAGATAGCAAAAGGATCAGGAGTTCAAGGGCAGCCTTGACTACACAATGAATTGAAGGCAGTCTAGGCTTTTCTCATTACTGTAACCAGATATCTGGCATGAAGCACCTTAAGAAAGGACTTATTCTAGGTCACAGTTTGAGGGGCTAGAACCCATCACTGACAGCAGGTAGCTCCT